TATTCATAAAAATATTCTTGTAACTTTACACAGGTTACTTATCTTCTCTTTCACACAATTATTTTTTCTAATCTAACCCATGTTAAATTTCCTTACTGATGCATAATTGCTAGAAGAGAAACCTACACATAACATTGTCTGGAGCACTGCCCTTCTGGTGTTCATCAATTTGCTCGAATGGGCCCAGTAACATTGTGAGACTTGTTGTTACTGTCTTTGGCATATCGAATATGTAGCTTGCCAGGCTTTGCCATGCGTGCGAGATACTCTCAGTAGCTTGCCGGGCTTTCCAAGAGGGGCAGAGGAATTGAACTCAGGTCAGTTGACTGGCAGCATGCAAGGGAAACAAATGCCTTACCCACTGTGCTATCGCTCCAGCCCTCAGACTAAGGTAAGGTAAAGGTAAAGGCCCTCCCGTTGATCGTCGATTTGCTCGAGCGGGCCCAGTAACGTCTCCATTGGAGACTTTGTTGTTACTGTGACTACTTGGATAAAAATTAAAAAGATATTTTGAAATATATCAATTTATATTAGTTAATATATGTAAGCATATTTAAATAAAAATAAGAAGTTGACTAGATTTATTTTATCACATAAAGAAATAAAGAAAAATTTAATTTAGAGGGTCAATGATAAATATTATTTAAATATATTAAGACAAAAGGGTTGATAAATGTAGGATGCTTGAAACTAGTGTATGTAACAAGAATTTTTATTTCATTCAGATCAATGACAATGTGAATCCATCCATCTCTTGCTATATATTAATGACAGTTATGCAAAATCATTTTCTAAGTGAGCATAATTTTTAAAAGATGCCTCCAAATGTATTTTTTCTTACACCATCTAAATAAGAAACATGATTTGCTATCCCAAAATATGCCACCTAAAATATAAGTTGGATTTATGACATTTTTCTTAATACTTGCTGCTTAATGCAGGAAGAAGTCACTCTGCCTTTATTTATCCTAAGACAGATCAACCAAAAGTACATGTAGCTATAAAGTCATGCATCCCTTCCCTGGGAGCTTCACTAAACAGAGAAGATGCATTCATCAAAGGGGACCAGATGTGGACACCCAATTATTTACTTTTCAAAGGACCATAAGCAGAAAATAAGAAAACTTTGATATATGAAAAGAAAAAAGAAGCTTAGCAGCATTAAGTATGTGAAAGGAGTTTTGATTTTTTGTTATACTGTTATATTTATATTGTTCACCTAACCTACTAATTATCTGTCATCAAATACTTTTCTGTAAAACAAGTAGGTTTTTCATTTAGTATATATTAATAATGCATTTATTGTAAAGTTTCTTATCTATGTGTCGGAGGGCTGGAATGATAGCACAATGGGTAGGGCATTTGCCTTGCCTGCGACTGACCCAGGTTCCATTCCTCCGCCCCTCTCAGAGAATCCGGCAAGCTACCGAGAATATCTCGCCCACACGGCAAAGCCTGGTAAGCTACCTGTGACGTATTCAATACATCAAAAACAGTTACAAGAGTCTCACAATGGAGACGTTACTGATGCCTGCTCGAGCAAAAATTGATGAACAACGGGAGGACAGTGCTACAGTGCTACCCTTTCATACAAATAACAAGTAAAATGAAATAGCCACATGTATGGCTTGAAATTGTTATAAATATTATGCTGGAAAGTCAACAATTACTCCACATGCTCTTACTACAATATTTTCAATTTTAGCACCACATACTTGGCTATATTCTCTTATTTAACTGCAACTTTATCAGTAGGCTCCATTTTCAATTAATAGTTTTTTTTTTTCTGAAGAGGTAAGGCACTGATTGGAACAAACAAATTTTATTTTTAAAAAGGAACTCAAATCAATTGAAAAGAAAAATAAATGGTAATGCCACATGAAACATATGACCTTGTCCTTAATGTCATAGTAGTTTAACTAAAGGAGTTACTGAGCAATGTAATAGAGAATCTGGTGACCTATTTCTACTAATAAGGAAATGCTCTCTAAACAAAAACCTAGATCAAAGGGACATCATTATGAGTTATTTAGAGAGTAGTGTTATTTTTTCTTTCTTTCTTTTCTCCAAGGAATGAGGAGTCTCTGGAAAAAAGAAATCCTGGAAACGGTAGTGTGAAGGGCTGAACCTGTGATGGATTTTTGGATTTACCTCACATAGTAAGTACATGTTTTGAACTTCAGATCTAGATGTACTAGTGAGAAACATGAAAGAGCTTACACTTTTCTTCAAATTCAGAAGACCAAAATAAACACATTTCTGGTATTTCTAATATATATATATATATATATATATATATATATATATATAGCGCTATCTAAAGAATTTGAGTCTATGAGTTACCATGACAACAAAAAGAAGGTAAAGTCTAAATCGTAGATATGGTGATGAAAGCACAGTTTATAATGGACTGTTCACAGAGTCTTACTATTTTAAATATAGTTTCCCTGGTTTGGATATAAATTATGCAGGATTATCTGTTGGGAGACAAGCCCCATTTGGCCTGCTTTGAAGTGTAATACTCGAGAGGACAGACTATTGAGAGAGCAACGCCTTTTGGTCTGCTTTGTGGGGAAGTCTGTTGCAATGTATATCGCAGTTTGATATTACCTGGGGACAGGATGTTTCTGGCAAGTGTGCGGTGAAGGAAACATGTTTGTTCTGATCACCCTGTGTACGTGACCAGTTCAACTCTCCCACCACCCTCCTCAGCCTATTTAGAGGCTTGATGTCCCTCAGTAAAGTGGATCTGCTGTGCAGGACCCCCACTGCACTCGTGTGTTTATTTCTCTTTCCTGGAGAAAGCGGTGGAAGGATTGCTCTTTTCTTCGGACCCCTCCCTTTAGCTGGAGGGATGCTGGGCCATCCTCTGGACCCTGAGTGCTCGCCCCTTGCTGGACGAGTGAGCATGCTGAACAGAGGCCTGGAGAAGACCCCAGCAATTATCTACTTAAGAAGTTGCATGATTAAGTTTAGTATTTGAAAATTGGAGTCAGCTTTTTAATAAAGGGGAAAAGTTTAAATGCTACCAGACTCACGACCAACCCCATCCCTCAGTATTTTACTTCCCAATACAGCTAAAGTTTGTAGGTATTTCTAGAAAATTTGGGGGAAATAAAGTCCAAATTCTTTGTGTATTATTATGTGGAATCTTTATAGTTCTTGAAAGATATATATATATATATATATATATATATCTTCCAGTTTTTTCTTAGACAGACCCAACTAAAATATTTTGGGTTTAAATGTATATGTTCATATCAGATTCAGTCAGTTTAGTATGTCCTTGACATTTTTCCTCCTGAAGATTTCTTATCTGAATTAAATTAGTTTCACAGTAGTACTATATCATGTAGCTCTTTTTTAACCTAACTGATATGTGCTTCTTATGTGAAGTTATAGCTAGTATAAGTCAAAAAGTCATCGTATGGTATATAATAATCTTTCTTTAGTTGCTTGTGAGAAAATTATTTCTCATGGATCCAAATATGCAAATAAAATTCTTGAATATCTAAATTTAATTTAACTTGCAGGCTATCGAATGTAGCCTGCCCACAGGGCAGAGTCTGGCAAACTCCCCGTGGCCTACCAAATATGCCAAATACCAGTAACAATGATGGGTCTCATTCTCCTAAAGAGCCGTGAATATAATCACAGGGCTAGGATGAAAGAGACGTTACTGGGGCCTGCTCGAGGCAATCGACGATTAACAGGATGATGAAATGATGAAATGAAATGGATACAAATCATAAAATAAAATAGAACTATACTTAAAAGAAAGAATAAAACTTTCTGTCACATATCCAATCATGATGCAATCAATAAAGAGTAATTTTACTATCTTAAATAATTTCTTCCCTTCCCCAAAACTGAGACAGGCAGATAAAAATATATATGGTATACCAACACATATACTCATAAAAGTCATATTATGAAGTCTCAAACCATCAGAATTATTTAAACATGGGGCCTTTGGGAAATAATTAGAAATATATGAGGCCAATGAAGTGGATTATGGATTTCCAGTATAACAAAAGGAATAACTCTGAAACAAAGCACTTTTTTTTACTTAAAGAGGTATTAGACACTAAATGTTACAAATAATAATAGAAGGTTGTTTGACGCTAATCATAGTTTTCTTATTTAAAATATACGTAGATTGTATCAGTGTTATACAATTAGGTTTAAAATTGTCATTGTTTCATTGCAATATAATTAGTGTTACTAGTGTTATCCCCAAATTCATCTGTATAGTACTAGTTTTTCTTAAAAGGCTCAGGTAAAGATTTTTCCAATTTCTAACTCTAAAATCTTCCTGCAATTTGGTTCTGAGAAAATGCTCTGATCACACTTCCCTAAGTTTTAAATTTCACCTTAATGTATAAATGTGACAAATAAAGATTTACGAAGTACATATTCTATTTGAATGTTAAAATATTCCTTGACTTTCATTATATGTATGACTTACCTTTATTTCCAGAAATAATTTCATATTATTAACATTAACATAAATCTCAGTTAAGCATTGTATTATGGAAACCTCAACTAAGAAAGTAGGCATAGGAATTCTATAACTATACTATTTGTTATAGAGTATGAAAATAAACCTACAGAATACACATACACTCTCATAAATTATATAGAAAATTTAACTTCATTTACATGTCAAAATTTAATGTATCTGAATACATTTAATGTATCTGAATATACAATTGACTATATTCAACTTACCTTTGAGATCATTATTCATTTCCAATTAAATTCAAAACTATGTTTCATTACAACTACTTATCTTTTAAATTTTTTAATAGCTTAAAGTAAATATATTATGCTGCAGGATTTTGGAAAACCATAAATTAGACTTACAAGATTGCTTAATTAATCAAATGAAGTGCGAATTAGAATTAGAAGATTGTTTCATTAGTCAATTCATTTCACATTGTCAGTTTTAAATGTAGACATATAAAAAAAACCTTTATTGAAGAAGTTAGTATCAATACCTATATTCCTCTTGAGTAAAGCGTGGGATTTCTCCAGGATGCAAGACAAGAATCTTTACTGTGGCGCTGCTGGACATTACAGGCTCACCATCATCAAAAGCAACAACCACCAACTTAAAATGAAATAAAAATTTGTATTAATAGTACAAACAAGAAGAAAATAAAAACATTATTTTCTCTGTGTGAGTTTAATCATTGGACTGACAGGTTCCATGGCAATCAATAGTCATTTTCTTACCATATGCTAAGAGCATTATATTAAAATATGCTACATGTATCTCACTTAATCATCTAAGAAAATCATCTAAGAATTCTATGATGTTGACATTATTATTTTTATTTTCCCTATGAGAGAACTCAAAGACCTTGCAAAACTAATTCTATGATGAAAAGCCACTAAAAAAAATGTGTACAATATCATGTCAAAAATAAACTTTTTCTCCTGTACAATTCTTTTGATGGCTAAAGTAAAAGTTATTTAAACACTAATATTTATTTTAAAACTTCAAAATCAGTCACATCAATAACAAAAAACCACTTTCCTTATAAAAATAAGTTATTTTTCAGTGAGCAATTTTATACAGGCTTATCTGGCATATATAGTTTTCATTAGAGTGTCAAATTGTAAACTACGATAGTTTAGCACTTTTAATATACACTCCCATAATAGCATAAACATAAACTCAAGTTCATAGTATAGCGTTTGAAATGCAGCAAACTAAAGAAAAGATTCAATGTTAGAAAGTTATCCACATATCATTAAAACCTATATAGTCTTTAATGCCTTTGATAATATATATTTTGATAAAAAAGAATTCTAATGTTTAATTTATGAAAAGTATAAGAATTTTTGTATTTATACTAGTTCTCTATTGTGTAAAAACTTTGAAACTTGGCAGTTACTAATCGAACAAACTCACCTTAGATCATGAAAACATAATCAAGAATCATTTTGACAGCTAGGATTTACTTCTGGATTAATACTTTATAAACAAAACAATTATTTAATATATTAATATGACTATGTGAGACCTAGTACACATTCACCTTTAAAAGGGTTAACTAATGAAGATATTTCTCTGTGTAGTACTGAGGACTTTATTCAGAGTGATACATTTATAAATAACTTTAATAAAATGGTTATGAGCAGATATTTATTAAATTAAATATAAATTAGTGAATGATAATATATATTTCAATATATTTGATGCTTATCATGTAATTATTATATAAGCCTAATTCAGAAATTTGGCCTCTAGGTAACAATATTAAGGGAAAAAAAACATGGTAAATGTCAAAAGATAATTTCACAATAAGTTTTGCAGCAGCAAAGATTATTTTAAAGAAATCTGAAGATACACTATCCAACAATAAAATATTTGACCAAAAATAACCCATAGTATACCCATCCAATAGATTGTGGCATAATCATTAATTAGCATTAATAATATTGGTGTGTATATAATATTGTTACATTAAAACAGTATTAATAATATGCCCACCATATTCTAAAGTATGTGTTTAGTAGTATACACATGGAATGCCACCATAAGAGTTGAGATCAAAATGATAACTTCTCATCATCTTCAAGTTATGATACATATGTTGTTACTAATGCATTTTATAAATGCTTTTGCAGAAAATATATAGTTTCCAATGAATAAATGGAGAATAATTTAAAGAGTTCAGTTATCTAGATAGCTAAAATCTCAATAAAAATTTAAACACACAATAGACATTAGGAGGAAAACTTAGTATTAACCTTAAAAATAGTTGTTGGTTCTTCATTAAGATTGACTCGAGTTATTACTCTTCCAGAATTTTCTTCTACATCAAAAATACTTGCAGGATAAGGAAACTGGACATCATCTACTCTATACCTCACACGACTTGCAGGTAATCCCTAAAAGAAAATTATGCATTATCAATTCACTTTAATAAAATTAAAAAGAAGTAAAAATAAAGTCCATCTGCTTATAAAATTCATGTTTTTCTATTCACATGTATTATATATTTCAAAATTTTTATTTTTATTTATGAAATCCAACCAAATTATGCTTTTGATTTTCCCATTCTTGGATTGCCCATTCTAACTCAGCAAAGTCTCTTTACTACATACTTTTTAAATTACTTATTTGAAAGAGTAAATTGACATTTGCTTTTTGCAAATTATCATCAACTTTCCTCTAATACTAGCAATTTCACCTTGCCCTAAATAACATGCCTGCTAAAGGTTTTAACTTCTGAGATGATTTCGGAGAGGGCCTTCCCAGCATTATTAGGGTGTCCAGGATCCTAATAATACAACTACAGAGCAGTGTTGCTCTGGTCCAGTGGTGACTGGCCACCCGGATACACCTGGAAGCCCAGTGTGTCATCAAAGCTACATGCAGTATGTCAGGAGTGTGAAGTGGGGGAAAAGGGGTTGTATGGTGCCAGCAATCAAAGTCAGTGACTCATGCATGTTAGACACACATTTCAGTCCTATGAAATATCTTTCCAGCCCATCTCCCAAAGCATTTTTAATTTGATTTTTATATTTATTTGATTTTCAGAGAATGAGCAAATGGTTATGGAAGCAAATGAAACAAAAATGGTCTATGTCCTGCTTACTATGCCCATCAGTTTTTCTAAAATAACTTAATCCTCACAACTACAAATAGGATGATGATAATAGTAAATAATAACATTTTACAACTGTTGAATACTTATTATTTGCAAGATATATGTTAGTGTATGTTAGTACACCATGAAAGACGCATGACGTGATATTCACTATTAGACAGTACCTTTACTGAGTTAAAACATGTTAAATTGTCACAGACCTAAACCAACATAAGCTGGCAAACCAAAACTTATTTTTAGAGGAAATCAAGTACTGGAGACTTTAAAAATAATGACGGAGCAAAGAGATAGGACAGCAAGCAGTGTACCCGCCTTGCATGTGGCAGACCCAGGTTTGATTTCTTGAACCCTCTATTGCTCCCTTAACTCTGCCAGCAGTGAGCCCTTATTTCAGAGCCAGGAGAAATCCCTGAGCATTCTTCAAAAATCAAAACCAAAACAACTCCCAAAATAAGAAGAGTCAAAAGTACTGAATGACCTCACTTATCGTCGGGCTTAGTTGAGTTTTATCTTGAATTAGAGAAGATTAGAATCTCTTCACTGCTTCAAGTCAAGCCTCTTATGTCAATCTTAAAGCAACCCAGAAACCCAGGTGCAGATTTATTATATTGGAGAGTTTCACTTCCAACACAAAGTCACTGTTAGATCACTCAATTCTTTTTTTTTAAATTTATTTATTTATTTATTGAATCACTGTGGGAAAGGTTACAAAGCTTTCAGGTTTAGGTCTCAGTCATGCAAATATCAAACACATTTCCCTTTACCAATACTTATTTTTTACCATGAAGAACCCCAATAAAACCCCACTCCCACCCCTCCCAATCCCTGTGAGGCAGATGAATTCTAGTTAACACTCTATCTGCTTTGATTAGATTCATTGTTTCAATAAAAGATTCACCACTATTATTTAGAGTTTACCCCCCCCCCCCCCCGCCAAATCAGACATGCTGAAAAAGCATTGTGAAGTGATTTGCTTTCTATAGCTGGGTTCAATAATTAAATGTTGATTTTGGATTTCTGCTATTTTACTTATTGACCCTGGAAGTATTTCTACTGAAAGTCAGATAGTTCAGAAATTGGTTTCTGTGCTTTGGAGTCATGGCCGTGCTGGAGAGCCACTAGTGGGGGGCAACTGGTGGCCTCGGTAGGGCGTGAAGGACGGACCGGAACGCCCCCCTTCCCATGAGGTTTTATTCGCCCCCATACCCCCAGCTCATACCTGCTGTCCACAAGGCTCCCATGTGGCCGCCATCTTTCTTTCCAGAGAGGAGAGGGCGACTGGGGCAACACCCTTTCCCCTCCGGACAGACATGATGGCCTGGATTAACGCATAGTCCATTCACTTTTCTGCTCCAAGCTGCCGGGTTCTGCATTAAGTCCTTGTGCTTCTGGGGCCGTGGCTGTGCTGGAGAGCCGCTCACGGGGGGCAACTGGTGACCTCGGTAGGGTGTGAAGGATGGACCGGAACGCCCCCCTTCCCATGAGGTTTTAGTCGCCCCCACACCCCCAGCTCATACCTGCTGTCCACAGTGCTCCCATGCGAGATCACTCAATTCTTATAAGAGAATAAGTTTTGCTTGGTCTTAATTTAAAGCAGGAGGAGAAGTAAAAACAGTATCCTTCAAAGGCTTAATATTTGTGGGTAAGGATGATTCTGGGGCTGGAGCGATAGCCCAGCAGTAGTGCGTTTGCCTTGCACGAAGGATGGTTCTGAGAAAGCTGTAAATTTGTTGGTTTGGTTGGTTGTTTTTGTCGCTATTGTTTTAGTAGATCCAAACTAAATTACTCATTGATATATATTTGAAAAAACACTCTGTCACTGTCCTCCCGTTGTTCATCAATTTGCTCGAGTGGGCCCAGTAACGTCTCCATTGTGAGACTCGTTGTTACTGTGTTTGGCATATCAAATATGTCACAGGGAGCTTGCCAGGCTTTGCTGTGCAGGCAAGATACTCTCGGTAACTTGCCAGGCTCTATGAGAGGGGTGGAGGAATCGAACCCAGCTCAGCTGGCTGTGTGCAAGGCAAATGCCCTACCACTGTGCTATTGCTCCAGACCATATTTAAGATAATCTTAAAATTCTGATGCCAGGATAGAACCTCACCAAATACACACATACATATCCTGGGCTATCACAGATAGGTTCATATAAATATAAAAATTTGTTCAAAAACTGCTATTATCAACACTTGGTGATTGAGTCTATCCTTAATTCCAGCATATAAACAGACTTTATAAACTGACCTTTTCAGAGATAGTACAGAGGACTATATATATAGCCTCATTTCATCCCCAGCACTGCATACGATGATCTTGTACCTCTAAGAATGACCTTTCTGCCCATAGCCAGGAATAGTCCCTGAACATGCTTATTTGTGACCTTGAATCCATTAAAAGTAAGAACCAATAACAATAATAGTAGTAGGAATAATAGTAAATTGACCCGAAGAGAGACAGGGATTGAATTCAGTGACTCCAAAATCAAAGCAGAGCATTTGGAACCATCCTGGACATACTTCTTCAAGTATTTGAAGGTTAATGAACTGCTTTTATCATTCTGATGGCTAATCAAGACTTTCATTTCCAGATGCTCTCATGTCATGTTCTAAGTAGTTCTCCTGTCCAAGACAGGTTCCATTTGCCCAGCCTTTCAAATGGCTTCTTAGTCACTTACTATAAACATGCTAGGTCTGAATTCCCAAAATTATATAAATATTACAAAGTTCTCCCTCAACAATAAAATTTTTTTTGTGCTGTGAGATATCACAAAATTATGTAGCCCATAGCTTGACTTTTTGAGGTGCTAGTTAGACATTCCCTGGGAATACCGAGTGGAATGCCTGTGCCCGTGGTACTTCTCAGCACTAGGACCTCAGCACCAAACCTTCTGGCTTGTGAAGACCAACAGAGTAATAACCAGGAGTGGCTCCAGAAACCCTAAGCAAGCAAGGGGATCCCCTTGCACATTAAAAATAATTTTTTTAATGAGGTTACCGTGAAACACCCAGCTACGACCAGCAGTGTGAGGCAGAGACCAGGCAGTGCCACAGTATAGACCCTGGTCCCTATGTAAGCAAGGCATCATGTGCTCCAACCCAGGGTTTTTTGTTTTTCTGGTTTTTTTTCTTTTAGGTCCTATGTAGCTATCTAGATTACATCTATATAATTTTTTCCAACTGACACAATATAATAAGTTCAGACTGTGATATTATTTGATTCCTATTAGAAGCTTTTGGTGGTTGACAATCAAATGGTATCAACTAATTTCTTTGTTTTTCCCTGTGGTCCTTCAAAGTGACTCATTTGCTAATCTTCTTGATTATCATCGATGAAATTTGTTGTTATGATTAGTTTCTGAATCACATTTGGATGATATAACAGTCTCAGGCTTCAAGTCTTGTACAATCCCCCAAATATTATCTGTATATTAATTTTATTTCATTACATATCACAGATGATCACTATATCCTTGTACACATTCTTCATCTTTTTCAATTTTCAATGATGAGAAAGATAAATATGACCCTTATAATGGTCAGGTAGGGCAGACCAAACTTTGAATATTAACACAATTAGCATCTACGGTAAAAGCTATGAAAGAGAAGCTTGCATAGTAATATGTAAAAGTGCTAGAGCTAGAACACATATTTTAGAATTTATAGTAAAGGACTTTATAAGTTCACTGTGAAGGCACTCATGTGAAAATGTGGTGCATTACCATTTACTGATATTGTAGCAATTTTATGATATACACATTCTTTTTCTGGCATACTACTGATATAAAAATTGCAAACAAAATTAATGTTTCAACATTTTGGACATTTTATCTCAAACTCAAAAACAAAAATAGATATGCTATGAAACTATACAAAAATACTAAATATAGATATATGAATTATTTTGCTAATTATTAATGATAATTTTGTTAAAAATATGTACATATTTAGAAGGTGGTAAAGACTTTTAGCCTGGTATTGTAATGAAATCTCTTTCTTAATTATTATAATGTCAGAAATGAAAACAGAATTATTGCAGGAGTCTATTATTGATATTCTAAAGTTTATAAATAATGAGTATAAGCACTATACTAAACTTAAGCATTCTTGTGATCACCCTTCAAGTACTGTAGCACTGTAGCACTGTCCTACCATTGTTTATCGATTTGCTCGAGCTGGCACCAGTAATGTCTCCATTGTGAGATTTGTTACTGTTTTTGGCATATCAAATGCATGCAAAGAAGAAAAAATAATAATACCTATTTTCCTTGGGGAATCTCAT